TATTTTTATATCAGTATTTTTTTATACATGTGTGGAGTACAAAAGCAAAAATGTACCCATGGGTGTGATAAGAAACACACAATGCACAATGTAAGGCAACATTTGGATTATAACTAGTACTAGTAATTTAAAAAATTTATAGCAAATGTATGTTTTGTTGAAGATATTAGGTGTTTTTATGCGATTTAGTAGCTTTTTTTCAAAATTTGAAGGCAGAAACAGACATATAGTTATAATTTACCACTTTTTAACATGTATTAGTGTATTTGTTAATACACATTTCTCTTAAACAGAACTACATAGCAAAGTATTTTCAGAAGGAACTAACCAAGTCATTACACCAAAATGTTATGACAGTGTATGTACAGTACACCACCTTGTAAAAGTATTCATAAACTTCCTATGGTGTCCTATTTTGAGAAATTATAAAATGACGCATACAAGTTTTTAGAAATACTTTATTCAACACCTGAACCTTGAAAATGAAGAATTCTAAGGGTAAGAAATGTAAAGGTCAAGAAAAACTAAAGTGAAATAGCTTAAATAAATTGATTGATTAAGTATGCCAACACATTAATTCAATATTTCGTGCATGTTCCTTTGACAGCAATTAAAGCTCCAGATACATTTCTACCAACTTTGCACACTGGCTTAGTGCAATTTGTGCCCATTCTTCTTGACAGATTTGCTCATCACAATTGACAAGCTCCCCAATCCTTACTGATGCTACCATCATCACAGCATGGCTGTAGGGAGAGTGTTGATTGTACTGCTGTATATTGGATTTTCATCAAATGTAACAATAGAAGAAAAAGGTCCATTAAAATTCTGTCTTCATCTTTTTTTAGTTCGATATAAGCCCTCTTTGTGGAATGGCTAAGAAATTTAAAGCGTGGACATTTTCTCCCATCTCCCACTTAACTTTAAAATGTTCTATTTACTTCCTTGTTTTATGTACTTTGCTTTGAATCTGTGAAATACGTTGTTTGTATAACAAATATTAAGCTGAGTACTTTTGCAAGGCACTATAAATGTCAAAAGTATGATTCATAGAAATGAAAATTAAGTTCTCGTTAAAAAGTATCAGATATATAATCGCTGTTTTAGTTTTACTACACCTTTTAAAGGTTTTTCCAACATGTTAGTTTCTTAAAAAAACAAAAAAAACAAGCTTTGGCAGAATTCTGTAGTAATTTACTTTAATTAATCTAATTTCCACAAATGAATGCACTGCTGTTATCATCAGCCTCACTTAAAAGAACTAGTACTAATAAGTGGAGGTCATTTAAATGAAATTTTATCACCAACAGCAATGGGTAGTACTGAAACTAAATAACAGTGATTTCCTGATGATGTTTTTAGGTTACTATTGGAGGCATTTTTGTAAAAGCGCACTGTTCAACCAAATGGGTGAATCACTCTATGTAGGGTTTCATTTTTGTCAGTGGTAACCCTGGAGGCTTGCTGAAATTGAATGTATTCTTCATTGTATAGGCACAATGAATTATTTATTTTTAAAAAGTACAGATAAGTCTTGCATCCTGTGGAAGTGCGGTCTTTTTTCTTTATCTTACACTGTTTCCAGTCTTCAGATCCAACTTAAACCTAGATACCTCTCAGCTATCCCATTACAAACATCCTTATCTTTATTTAAGCATATATAACCAGGATAAACTCTCAGCACAAGTGAACTGCTTATGTCAGTCACACTACAAACTATACTATCCACAGTATTACACTGACCAGTTATAACTATGAGCATGAACCTACAGTACATAGAAAAAAAGCAAGCACATATTCAAGCACTTAATGGAAACATTATAAAAGTAACAGCACTAAATGCTGTCCCAACTAGTTTGGTTACCAGTGAATTCTTCACTTAAAAAACTGAATTTTAAAATAAAAGTCATAAGCCAGAAAACATTCTTAACAGTGGAAGACTTTTTTTTTTTGCTACCTTCTGTGATTCACTACAAGATCTTCAATTAAGAAAGCAAGTACGGATTTCACTGTCCTTTGGAATCAAGACACGAGATACAGCCAGCCACAGCAAACTGATGTTTCCAACAGATAGTTCTGGAAAATTCAACACCCCAGGGAGTAACATGGGTCAAACTCAACCTATCAAAAACAGCAGTACACTGCCCCCACAGCTAAATTTGGGAACATTAATAAGTTAAGTAGAGGGTAAGTAGCAATTTACGATCTGTTCATCTCCTATGGTAGTCACAATACCAAGCACTTTCATGACAGAGTAGGTTTTATTACAAGTTCCATACTGTAATTACCAGCTATATTCATTCATTAATTTATATAATAGTTTTGTCACTGCTTTTCAAATATACAGTACTAATATCTCATAAAGAACTGAATACTAAGGTGGGGGCTTAACCCTGAATCATACTGAATATACTTAGTAAAATAATTTGTTGAATATGGCGAGTTTCAGATCTTTCTGGGTCATTCATCCTCAGCTGCTAATAAATTAATTGGTTTCATTACTGGGTACATTAACTTAAATTACAACAGTGGGTCTGTATTTTGGGTTATTATGGCGAATGATAAGAGCTTTTCTAGGCAATTTTATTTGTGTGTATGTGGCCTTTTAGGAACAAATGAATAGCCTGCCCAAAAAAGAAATTTTAACTTAAATATTTAAATATTAACTTGTTTATACACATTTCTTTTGAGATGAAAGAGACTCAACTGCATTTTACAGTTCACAGAATTTGTCCCTGCAACAAAATAGGTTAGTATAAAAATTCCAAATAGAAAAACAGAACACTTTTTGGATCCAAATAACAATTGTAGCCAAGCTGCTACTTACTGAAATACCTTTAGATAATTTAATGCATCAGCATAGAAAATGCTGTCAGTTTTTTTGAAGGAAATATTGAAAGAAAAATGGTGTTTTAATGGACAGCTAAAGCAGTGGGCCCACACTTTCTTCCAAACAAAATTACTGTTGAAAAGCTGAGCACAAAACATCAATATATTCTCCGTATTCCTACTACAATAATCGTTTTATTGCAGACTAAGGAACAACAACCTTGGGCTGTTTAATTTTTGGAATTATTACATTTAATGTGCTCTTAACCCTAAAGACTGAAAAGGTTGTGCAACATAAGAAGAGTCAAAAACAAAGAGTTCCACGGGCACTCGTAATCCAGGGCTGTTTCTTAAAACATTTTTTTAAACCAATTAACTGATTCATTTTAAAGTAATTTCTTCCATCTTTTCAAATATTGTTTCTAAATTACACTTCAAAATCAATGTAAAGAAAGAAGAAATAAGGAGGATTCTCAAGGACAAACAAAGCTTGTATTCTGAGTTAGAACACGAGAGCCTTATTGCGGATCACTAGAAAGTTCACCAATGTGTCCAAAAGTAAACGGACGTCTTTAGAGAAAACCCATCTGTTTCTGTACAAACACTGGCAGATCAGTCTTGGGCTGAGCTCTATTACACTAGAATTTGTAGCAGCTATAATACATTAATCTGCCAAGAACA